ATCCGTCAATGATGTGACCCGATCTGAACGAGATCCGCCTGAAGTCATCTGAACCTGAATTAACCTAGTCTTTAACTGCTCCAGACTTAAACTGTTTTGACCTGAACTGACATGGATCTGGCCTGAAAGTAACCCGAACTGAACCTAATGTCAAATCAACCTGAAAATGACTCGAACTGATTTGATATGGATTCGACCTGATCCGAGTCGAAGCATCAAGCTATCAAATTGACCTGACTTGACTTGTATCTGATTTGACCCGACCTAACAGAATTCGACTGAAACCTGAACGATTACCTGATTTAAATCCCTAAAAAATGTTATAGTTTTGCTTTCTATCCACCGAAAATGGTAGTAATTGCCCTAAATCTATTCATTTTCCTTGTAACTTCATTCTCTCCAAAGAAGAATTTTAATATTGGAGTAAATTATACCATTCTTCATTGAATTTTACACTCTCTCCTATTCCATTCATTGTACTTTTAATTATTTCTAATTTACTCACTGAACTTTTGAATTGTTCCTATTTTGCTCACTACAAATTACTTTTTTTTTATTATATGATGTGGTATTTTTTTTATTATTAAAATATAAAAATAATTTAAAATAAATAATAAACTATATTTTCACTTCTCCACCATACGCATCATCACTACCCCCTTCTCGTCATCATTGGCCTTCGAAACTGACAATGTTTTATCCCAAATTGTACCAAGAGGCTCACTATGACACGTTGAATCTAAATCTGGTGGTTGTTTCACCATAAAATGTCCCAACAACCGTGAATCTGGATTAAAATATTTCGGCTTACTTTTGATCTCATATTCATGGGCTTCGGAGCATGTTCCAATAAAATAGAGGTCAGATTCGGACTAAGGGGGTCGAGGCGAAGCGACCCATGAAATCTAGGATCGAACAATCACCATCTAAGCCGGTTAACGATGACCGACATTTCCATTTTTCATTTTTGGTCGAATTCGGGGAATGTTCCGACAAAATGAATGTTAGATTTGGACTCAGGGGTTGAGACGAAGAGGCTAATGAAATCAGCCACTATCTACGACCGTCGACGATGGCGTCTAATGCCGACAAATAGTGGATGACCATAATCTGTTTTATTTTATATTTTATTTTTTTATATTAAATAAAAAATATCACATCATCCCAAAATAATAATAAAATAATTCAGAGAAACCAAAATATGAGTAATTCAAAAGTTAAGTGATTAAATTGAAAAAACTGAAAATACAGTGAATGAAATAGAAAAAAGAGTAAAGTTCAATGAGAAATAGTGTAGTTTACCCTTTTAATATTGGAGTAAAATCTGCTCTCGAAGAATCAGTGATTTCTGTGATTGTGTTAGTGTCTATGCATGTGTGTATAGGTAGGAGAAGGGTAACCATTTATCCGATGTTTTAGAGAAAAAAAATACAACATTCTTCCACCATATTCAATTAAAAACAAAGAAACAAGACATGAGAAATAATAATACAAAAATTGTATCTGCCTTGCAGAAAACCAATTACAAAAGGATCCATGTAGAACACAACTCCAGCTGCTTTGAGGTTGTTTGAAATTTTAGGAATTAAGAGATTGGGCGGTAGTCGGTAGTAGTTGGACGGCGTCGGGTAAGAGGCCGTTTGACGGTGACAATAATGAAAGTTTGGAATTAGAGATTATAGAGGTTTAATTTTTTTCCCTTATATTTTGAAGAAATTTTGGGGTTTTTTTAAAAATAATAAAAATTTAAAGTTTTTCTTAAACAAAATTTTAAAAAATGTATAAACCTACCGCGTGTCACATTTTGAAGGGTTGATAGCATTTTTTTAATGACTATGACAGATCAAACACTTAAAACAGTAACGTCGAAAACGTTAAACGCCTACCTACATTGACCAAAAATAAAACTTTAGATGCCTAAAATGAATTAGAGGTATAGTTTGGGATAGGCGTGCTTAATGAGTTGAGCAGCTTGTGAGTAGCTCAAACTCGATTAAGTAAAAAATCGGTCAAAGCTTGATTTGGGTTGACTCGGCTCAATAAGTTCGTGAGCATATCGTTAATTTTTCTTTTTAATTTTTTAGTATTTATCTTACAAATGATTTCATTCAAAATGTTACTAATTTATTAATAAATAAGATGATAAATTATTAATTTAATATTTTTAAATAAATAATAAAAAATACTAAGTTATTAATAAAATAATTATTATTTTGCTGCACCCAAAAATCAAACCCTAATTACCCAACTTCACTCTTCCGCCCCACGTATCCTCACATCTTAGTTACCCCTTCATTATTTCTCAAATCTTAATTCTCAAAACTACAAATCACCTAATTGAATCAGGAATTTATCTCTAACTCGACAGCCAAGACAAGTTCTCTTATCTATCTCTTCATTCTTCACATTTTATTTAAATCTTGTATGTTTTCTTTTCGTTCTTTTAATTCAAGTTTAAAATTATTTGTTTTAATTCTAATTTGGCTTCATACGTTCTGCAATTGTTCTTGAAATAAACTTTAGAGCCAAACCATAAACTCTAATCCAGACCAGAGTTGTATGAAAATCATAATCTTATAGAGTTTCATTATCTTTGGATACCCTGTAAATGTTGATTTGTAATGATGATTGATGTCGATCTTTATACGGTGTGAAGAGAAAAAACAAAGTAAACTATTTAAGAGTAAACATATTAATTGATTTGGTTCTATATTATTTATGACAAAGTAAAAAATTTATTTTAGTTATTTAATATAAGATATTATTTATTAACATGATAATTATATTGATCAATCAAAGGAAATTATTATCTCACTTTGTTAAGCTCTATACAATATTAATATATTTTATTTATAGTTAAAAAAATAAGATAAAAAATCTAATGATCTTAATGAACAACCAGCTTAATGAACAATGAGCAACCAACTTAATAAACAATGAGTCAAGTCTAGTAACAAGTTTTTTTAACGAATAAAAGTCGAGCAAAATTTTAACAAGCTTAACGAACAACAAGTCTAGTCGAACAACAAATTTTTTTAACGAACATGATTTGAGCAAAATTTTAACGAGCTTAACAAGTAATATGCCTAGTCGAGCAACAAAATTTTTTAATTAATACAAGTCAAGCACTGTTCAACTCGTGATCGACTCAGTAAATAAACACCCTTAATTTGGCACTTGTTTTTTTTAATTAAGCCAAAAAAATAATCCTAATCTCCATAATTTCCTTTAATTTCAAAAGAAAAAGTGAATTTTTGGGGTTTTTTCATTGATATTATTTGCAGTTTTGGAATGTATACAAACCAGGGTTCATCAAATGTATAGTTCGATATACAACTGAATCAAAAAGTAACAATTTTGATCACAAAAAATGACCATCTGTACATAAATTAATGGTAAAACAGATGCCGAAATCAAACTTCCCAGCAATCATTCAAGTAAAACAATTTTAAAGCCTGGCACTTGAACCTCTTCCATATCATGTTAACTAATGGATGGCAGCATTGGTTTCATCCCGAGTCCCGATCCTCCAGAAGCACCAGGTTCGGCATGCTTCACCCTACCAACGTACCGGATATGGCGTAAGAGCCTGGCCAGGAAAGTGTTGTGGCAAATTGTCGAGCTATCACACACGACCGCAACATGTTTGCGTGCTCTGGTTATGGCGACGTTCATTCGCCTAATGTCCCCCAAGAACCCGACAGCTCCTAAAGTGTTTGATCGTACCTGAAAACAGCAACAAGCATTGTAAACCAGCCATACTTAGGAATTCGGTTTCATGCAATTAGGCCCTAGCCACTCTCTAACATGCATCACCTGCAACCTATTTTGCCCAGATTTACGATGTGACACATGAATGCTCACATTTTCTAATTTTTTTGCTTCATATATTTGGAGAGTCGGACACAAGTGTCGCACACATGTATCGTAAGAAAAATAAAGTCCGAGTAACATTGCATGCAACATAGATGTTGAAGGGGACACAAAGATCCTCAAATACATTGGTGTCATAAATCTGTCTGGAACCTAAAGAAAACTTAACATTTGGCTAGCAAATTTGAGGGAAATCAGTAAGAAATATGTAAAACCAAGACTAAAAGCATATAAATTATAGCAGGGAAGACATAATGACTTTATCAGGTATTTCAAAAGAAAGACATGGTAATAAATGCAAAAAATAAATAAATAATACCATTGATATAATTACTGCATCAGCCTCTCGACCCTGGAAGCTATCGATTGTCGCAACCTCGACACCAGCAGCCTCTGGGAACTTATCGAGCCTGTCTCGTAAGAGCTGTACCTGAGCAACATAAGGTGATTGGACAGCAATTTCTGTTGGGCTAACACCTGCATAAGAGAATGAAACCAATTATAGTTCTCAACTTGGTTAAGGAAAGATGGTAACAATAAAGGCCTATTAATCACTACAAAGCAAGCACCGAAATAACTAAGGTCGAGAGGCGACCGATTTGAGCGCAGGTGTTGGTCTAGAAGCTGATAAGAATTATGCAGAAGCTAAGAATAGATATCGCTTTAAAACTCATACAAAGGGAAAGGGAACGAACACTCCAGGATGCGTATTACTCTTTAAAAAAGTTAAATCCATGAGGTAGAGGTACTGATGCGAGTTGGGCTAGAGAATTAACTGAAAGAAGGTCAACGAGTGGCTATTGCTTTATTGTTTGGAGCAATCTAGTCACAGGGAGAAAGCAAGAAACAGTATGTGGTCTCAAGAAGTAGTGCAGAGGCTGAATTCCGAGCACTTGCTTCAGGAATTTTTGAAGGGATTTCGATTCAAATACTGTTAAAAGAGTTAAAGTTTAATTCAAAGGAATACTTCAAGATACAAAGTGACAATCAAGCTAATAGATTTGCTTGCTACTGACTCGAAATTAAAGTACAACATATACAAACCAGTTTGCGGAAGAGTGTCGACAGAGGCCGAGCTAAACAAATCTGTCCAGATAAAGAGTTTTATCTCCATAGAATTTCTAGAGTTATAAACGGGCAACCAAAGTAAGGAAAAAATATTCATGCAGACAATGAAAACATGATCATGCTCATACATGTAACATTCTCAAGTCCAATATAGTTTAATTTTTTTTATTACCAAGTACTATTGAAACTTGAATAAAGAATGCAACAGTAAACACAATTCAACTAGTTTGTCATATACCCAAGACAACATAGGAACCATCATTAAAAAGGTAGACCAAAGATATGTGCAACTACCTGCATAGATCAGATAAAAGACGTGTTGGACAGCGATATCAGCTTCCCCTTCATTGAAAAAAGACCCTGTGCCAGCCAGGTCTAAATGCTCTTCACAGCCAACTGACAAACTTCCAAACGGCATTCTTGTGTCGAGTAACAACAATGGACATTGTGTTATCCATGTGGGCTGAAACAAGGTAAAGAAACATCAAAACTTGAACCTTTTTTCATTCTTTTCCTTTCTCGATCCACGCTAATCTCACGATAAATAAATATTTCCCAAAAATTCAATAGTGTAGAATCTTAAACCTAATAAAGAGCAAGCATGCCAATGGAAAGCTAAAAGAAAAATACCCATACATGCATGAATTTGTATAAAAGATTGTGGCCATAGACTAATATGAAGTCTTTTTTTCACTTAGCATTTCTAGTAGCCGTTACTAATAAAAATCTATGCTCCATTTTGGAGAATGAATAAACATGAATGGATCTCATACCTTGACAAATAGAGAATCAACAAGAAGATGAGATGCAACAGAAGGAGAGGATTTCAGTTCTCCATCATACATCTCCTTCGAAGCCCAACTGGCTATTGCATCATTTATTCGGTACTGAGTTGTTAACATGGTAGCAAGAACCCCTTCATGCAAAGTCGCGGCTCTCTCTAGCAAGGATACTCCAAGGCCTCCTTCTAAAGCTTTTCGAGATAAAATTACCGGAGCAAGCTGGTATTGATCACCAGCAAGTATACAACGTTTCCCCTGCAATATTGGGATCCAACAAGAGGGTTCAATTGCCTGTCCAGCTTCATCTATAACAACCAGGTCAAAAGTATCCAATTTCCAAATAAGTGGATCACCCGCTCCAGTGTTGGTAGAAAGCACCACCTGAGCACTTGATAATACTTCCTTCACTGTTTCCTTCTCCTTCTTTTTCAGTGCCTTACCAAGCTGCTTTAAAAGTTGGCGTATTCCAAGCTAAAGAATCATCCTTTAAACAAAGTTGAAGATCTTTTCTTAGATCTGACTTCTTCCTTTCAAACTCTGCTTGATAATCTGCAAGCTTAGAATTGACAATCTCAACCAACGACTTGGATGCTACATCTGAAGAAATACGTACTGGGTTTCCAACACGCACTATGTTCAATCCTGTACCGGAAAGTTTCTCCACCATGTTGTCAACAGCTGCATTAGTAGGTGCGGTTACTAGCACTCTTTTGCCTTGCTGTGCGGCAGGTGCTATAATTTCCATAAGCAAGCCTGTCTTTCCAGTGCCTGGAGGTCCTTGAACAACCATCACAGGTCAGTTATTGTTTAAGCCTAAAGCAATTGCTTTTCGCTGGGAATCGTCAAATGTTCCATGCTGTAACAATCCATTCAACTCCACTTGACTCCAGTCCACCAAACCATTCTACATCTTCCTTGTCTCCAAATAGTGTGGCCACAACAGTAATTGAAGGGTCTTTCTTCTGCAAGCCATTCTTTTGGAGCAGCATTAAGGCTTCACAATTGCTCTAAAAAACCATAAGAGGGCAGTTAGATATAGTAAGCATTATTCAACAGAAACAATCGAAAAGTGAATAAATTAACAAAAAAACACTTCTGGAAAGTGGCCGAAATATTTGTCTTGAATTAGTACTTCCTGGCAATTGAAAAAACTAAATCAAAAGTTAAGATGTAATCTCAATTAGCCAATTCCCTATGGCAAGCTACAGAGTGAATCATTCACCACATGAACCTAATCAGAGTAAAAAGGGGTGTAGCCCAAGCCAAGAACTGCAGCTTGAAATATATAGCATCTTACCAGGAAACAGCTGAAGAAACTCTAGAAATTTTCTTAGGTAGCCATATTTATTGTAGTAAAACCAATATACTAACCAGTTCAGGTTTCAGTAAACAATTTTCATGTCTTGGAGGAGCGGGTTTGATTCTATAAGATGCTACTTGATGCATTGATAAGTAATTAACATAGCTAACATTGTGCCACCACTTAGCATGGAGCCTTAGAGGTTGCAGTTTTCTAGCTTTAGATAATCCCTTGTACCTTAAGAAAGAGAGGTTTGCTAATTACTCACTATAATGGTTCTTCGGGAATATAATTATAATTGACATTTCTATAAAAAAATAATTATAATTGACATAAATTCCATAGTCATATGAGAAAGGATAGCTTCAGTTAAGTGGTCCTTATATAACAGATACAAACTTTTCTGCAAAAGCTTTTGCCAGATGGTTTCCAGAAATATAGATCATCAGAGAAGTAAAAAAAATGAAGAAAACTATTACTTCAGTCAGTCATGACTGAAAAGTTTGGATCAGAGAGTTACACAATATATGCTTCAAGCATTATGACCAGAATAAGAGATTAAGGACCGTGAAAAAAAATGTAATCCAAAAAGGATTTCAGAAGCCTTATAGGCAAAACCAGGTTTCATAATGTCCATGGAACTCAAAACAAAGGATAGTGAGAATACAAAACGTATAGAGCCTTGGAAATAGCACTTCGTGTAAATACTATGAATGGACTTCTATCTCCTTGTGCTTTGATAAACTTCCTTTTCTTACATGAAATTTCAAAATTATCATGAGAAAGCATCGATACATCGTACAAATTTAAAGCTACAGCCAATAAGATAGGAATGAACCTATAATGGTCAAGTGGAATTTGGCAATAGAACTAAGATTAAGAAATATATTAGTGAATGTAAAACTAACATGTTCACCATCCAAGATCAAATACCTCATATGTGAGTGCATCAGCCAAACCTTGAATACGATCAATGCGCACGCTATTTCCAAATAGCTTTTAGAGAAAGTTGGATCATCATGACGAGACTCCATGGCAACACTGATGCTACAACCATCGTCCCCAAGGTTGTTAACAAATCCCTGGATGCAAGAAGTTGTACCTGCTCCCCTGCTGTCAGAAATCCTCACACAAATCATATCTCCAGGAGACAGGGTTGTGGGTGGCAGTCGGTGGTTCCCATCAACCCTAAATAACACCAAATGTATTCCACCTAATCCTGTACATAACGCAATTCTAAAGGCATTAGCAAACTAAACATCATTTATGCAACAAACTCCAAAATTGCATTCAAAGGAGCAAATGAAGGTACAAACATGGGGTTTATCAACCTCAAAGGGGAAAAATTAACAAATAAATTGGTAGATAACCTGTTGATGTGCTAACAGCATTCAAATTGCAAATGGTGTCACAAAGTTCTTGCTGAGCCTGGCCATGGCTAACCAAGAACTAAATAGGTTTTGATGGATCTGAACCCTCATCAGGTGTAGGAACAGCATCTAACTCCTCCTGAGTGAACTCCAATTCTGCATCCCTCTCTATCTGAAGCAACTCCGACATCCGCTTTGTAAACTCGTCAATCCTGCCTTGAATGGCCTTAGCCTTCTCCAAATCCATCCCCAAAACACCTTGAACAGGCTTTGGCTGTGTATTCTTCCGAGCAATCGCCCTATGCTGAGCTGCAAATCCATCATTCCCAGCTCAAACTCTCTCTCTTACCAAACTACTAAATTCACTAATTAACATATTCCAGGAACTGTTAAAAACAAGTAAAGTTATGCCATAATCAAACTACTAAATTCATTAATTAGCATATTCCAAACACTGTTAAAGCAAGTAATCAATGTTATATTCAACCTACAGGCTAGAAATAAAGTTGAACAAGAAAAAAGTTTCAAAGAAAGAAAACAAACCAGAACTTGGTAGCTCCTTAAGCAGCTTCCAAGACTCAGTCTCCTTCCAATCTTCAACCATAGATTTTTGCTGCAACTCTTGAAGAACATTCCTCAATTCCCTCTGGAAATGATCAAACAATGTTGGATAATGCGTACAAGTCTTCAAACAAATTGCTTCAAGTCTAAGGGGTATAGGAATAGCACTGAGATTAGGCTGTGCCTGGATTAGAAATGTCAATACAGGTCCCATCTTTTGTCTCAACTCCAAAAACTCCCCTTGCAACTCAGCTGACACAAAATCTGAAGCCATTGCCCTCATACCTTCACTAAGCCACCAAACAACCTTCTTCCCATGATCTCTTCTGCCCAAGGGATCCCCATTTTGATAAAAAAATTCCCACATTTAAAGCCTTAGTCTTTTGAACCTTCTGTTTCTTCTGTTTCTTCAACAACCCTAGTTCTTTGACTAATATCTTTGTCCTACTGAGACTATCACTAGGCGTTGAAGCAGACCTACTCTCACTTTTGTTAACTCTTGGGTTGCTTCCAATGTAACTTTTCCTTCTAGGCTTCTTCTTTGTAGTAGTAATAATCTTGCTGCCAGTTTGACTGCCGCTGCTTTCTCCAATACCATTGCAAACAAACTGCTTGGACTTAAATTTTGTTGAAGGTAAACTACATTTATGGCCAACAAATAGACATATTGATTTCGAAAAGGAGAAAAGGAGAATGGCAAAGAACTCAAAAAGCTACTCTTTTGACACTCAAAGCCAAAGCTTTTGTTGTTGTCGTTGAAGGAATTCTTCCACAAAACAAGCATGAAGCTTTTTCCATTTCAATAGTGAGAAATTCGTTTATTGTCCAAGGGAAAAAAACCCAAATTATAATGCAAAGAGTGTAGCTTCCATTTCTTTTTCTTCTCTCCTAGACTCGCCCAAGAACGAATCTTTTTAATAGAATCTTCAAATATATATACAAAGATATAAAGAGGAGATTTTTTTTGGGGTTTCTTTTTAGGTAGAAAAAAAAGGGTTTTTGAATTTGAGCCTCGGAATGGATTTGAGGTCAAGAACAAGAAGAAAATTAGACTTTTTTTGGTACCCTATGTTTTCTTTTGAATGTAATGCAAGAATACAGGGAGGAACAGAAGAAACAGAGGGAAAGGAAGATATTTGAGGGGTCAAAATTAAAGGAGGAGATCGAAGAGAGAGCGTTTTGATTAGCTACGAGAGATTTTGTGGAGAGGGAGTGTGGGGCAAACTTGTTGTCTACTGTTCTATGTTTTCTCCTTTGGTTTTTCTGCTGGT